CCCGTGATGTTCGTCCCAAAGGCAAACGGCAAGCTACGCCTTTGTGTGGACTACAGACAACTGAACAAGATCACGATCAAAAACCGCTATCCATTACCTTTAATCTCCGAACTCAAAGACCGACTGCATAAGGCCAAGTACTTCACAAAGATGGACCTACGCGAAGGGTACTATTTAATCAGGATAAGAGAAGGAGAAGAGTGGAAGACGGCTTTTAGAACTCGATACGGACACTTCGAGTATACAGTAATGCCATTTAGGCTTACTAACGCGCCAGCAACGTTCCAGGCAGTGGTCAACTCAGCGTTGAAAGGCTACCTAGACCGGTTTGCAGTGGCATACCTCGACAATATCCTCGTGTACTCAGAAACGCTGAGCGAACACAAGATACACGTGCGAAAGGTACTCAAAAGACTCAAGGAATACGACCTTGCAGCAAACCCGGACAAGTGCGAGTTCCACAGGCAGAGGGTCGGATTCCTGGGATGCGTCATCAGTCCAGGACAGATCGAGATGGAAGAAGGCAAGGTGTCCTCTATCCAAGAGTGGCCAGAACCCGCGAATTTGAAGGAACTACAGTCGTTCCTAGGGTTAGCCAACTATTACAGGCAGTTTATTGAGGGCTACTCGAAAATTGCAGAGCCGCTTACAGGACTCACAAGAAAGGACATCGAGTACAGATGGACCCCAGAAGCGCAGAGCGCATTCGACAAACTAAAAGCACGGTTTGCTTCGAAACCAGTGTTGGCAATCTTTGATCCACAGAAACCAGTTACCATCAAGAGCGATGCGTCGGACAAAGCATTGGGAGCGATACTCAACCAACCAGACGAACGAGGGAAGTTGCACCCCATAGCGTTCTACTCACGAAAGCTGAGCCCAGCTAAGCTAAACTACGACGTCCACGACAAGGAACTGCTAGCCATAGTGGAAGCATTCAGTCAGTGGAGAGTTTACCTCGAAGGAGCGGTACACACGATACAGGTGTACACAGACCATAAGAATCTAACGTACTTCACCACAACCAAGGAGTTGAACAGAAGACAAGTAAGATAGTCAGAAAAACTGGGAACCTTCGATTTCAGGATCACGTACCGGAAGGGATCTGAAAACGCTCGTGCAGACGCACTCAGCAGAAGGCCGGACTACATGGAAGGGGCCGAGAAAGAAAGACGATCCATACTCCGGGAAAAGAGCCCAGGAACCCTTGAATTCAACCATGCACAAGCAGCAGCTGCTTACAGGTCCGAGGACAACGAATAGTACAGACGAATCAAGGCAGCACAGAAGGTAGATCAAGAGAGCCGGGATTTAGCAGGTTACGACTGGCAAAGTTTGCGCCCAGAACCTACGAACCAAGAACGCGGAGAAATCCAGGACGGCATCATCACCTTACGGGACAAGATATTTGTACCCAAGACCTTACGAGAAGAGCTCGTCAAGGAATTCCACAGTACACCAGTGCACGGGCACCAGGGAGTGGAAAAGACACGGGAAAGAATTGCAAGGACATTCTATTTCCCCGGACTCCGGAAACTGACGGAGAGAATCGTATACGGATGCGAATGCGCGAAAAACAAGTCGGCACGACACGCACCGTATGGACTAATGAAGAGTCCCTCCACACCGGAAAGGGCATGGGAAGCCATCGCATGGGACTTCATAGTCAAGCTACCACAGTCCATCGAACCCATAACAGGCACGAAGTACGACGCAATATTGGTAGTTACGGACAGACTGACCAAATATGCATACTTCATCCCTTACCAAGAAGCATCGACGGCAGAAGATCTGGCCTACGCTTTCTTGAAGTACGTTGTTAGCAACCACGGGCTACCCCAGGAGATAATTTCAGACCGAGACAAGCTCTTTACATCGAAATTCTGGCAGACCCTTACTACACAACTAGGAACAAAGCATAAGCTTTCCACGGCGTTTCACCCTCAGACGGACGGGCAAACGGAAAGGCTTAATCAGACTTTAGAACAGTACCTACGATGCTATGTCAACTACAGGCAGGACAATTGGGTATCGCTACTACCAATGGCCCAATTCGCCTACAATAGCGCATCTACGGAGACAACGAAGGTATCGCCCTTCTTTGCAAACTATGGTTTCGATCCAGAGGCGTATCGAGAACCCCGACTCGACAGCACGAGGGCCCAAAGGGCACTGCTATCAGTCGAAAACATCAAAGAGCTACAGAGACAGCTCTCAATGGACATCCAATTCCTAACGCTAAGGTCAGCGAGATATCACAACCAACACCGGAGTGTTGCACCAACCTTTAAGAGGGGAGATAGAGTCTACCTACTCCGCAAGAATATCAAGACGAAACGACCAAGCACGAAGTTAGACCACGTCAAGATTGGACCATTCGAAATACAGGACATTATCAGCCCAGTAAACTACAAGCTTAGGCTACCCAACAAGATGAAAATACACCCGGTTTTCCACGTATCGCTACTGGAACCCGCACCACCTAACGCTAAGCTGGAAAACGACATAAAGGTCGACGACGATAACGAATATGAGGTCGAGCAAATCCTGGATTCCCAACAGCACGGTCAGCGAACGGAGTACCTGATTAAGTGGAAAGGATACGGCACCTCAGAGAACACATGGGAACCGGTCAAGAGTTTGGCGAACTGTCAGGAACTCCTGCAGCAGTTTCACCGCCAGAATCCGGAACAGCCCAGAAAGACGGCGACAGCGCACCGTCCAACCAGGAAGGATCAAAGGAACTTAGAGAAGGAATGCCACTGCCACATGATCAGAATGCACGGCAATGGAACGGACGGCTGGCAGTGCCCAGCACACCCAGGAAGAAGGGAGAGTACCCGACAGTCCCCGAGGCAGAAGGCGAGCCTTCCTGCTCGGCATGCTCTCGTCCTTTCTGCTCAGCCTCTTTCCGGTCCTCCTCTTCCATCTCCTCCAGAGTGGAAAAACCCCTGCGGAGCATGTCAGAACGACGCTGCTCCAGGAGCTTGCGCTGCTTGCGCAACCGACGATGTTTGGCATACGCGGCCTCCTCCTCTTGTTCTAGCTGCGCCACGGCGGCATCCAGCTTGCGAACTACGGGACGTCAGTAAGAAACAACGACAAAGCCAGAACGACCCACGGGCAACCTCGTTAATGCCAAAGACATCACACACACCACCAATCTTCACACATTCCCCACACCGAGTATTCCCTTCCAACACTTTACAGGCCAGGCCTTTGTCGCGACAGCGGGAGCAAGAAGGCATTTCGATTCCGAATCTCGCGGAACGATCAGATAGAAGGTCACGTTGCAAGGACTTGCGGGATTTCGGAACTTTGGGCATTGTGAAGGAAGAAACAGAACAGCACGATGACGGCCCAGCAGATGGGGCATCGCCAGCTATTTATCCGAGACCCCACCACGGAACCACTTTCGGGCCGAAAGCCTTGGAAGGGGGAGCGAGTGTTACAACCCGTAACACGAACCACCCGAGCGCAGAGGCACTCGCGGAGACAAGCAAGCAGATAAGACTGATTACAGAGAACCAGGTCACGGGA